TTCACTGAGAACTGACCATAATCTGGATTCTCAATTCTATTCCATTGCTCTGAGGGTCTGTGTTAATTTTAGTACCATGTAGTTTTAATTACTACCACTTTGTAGTACAGGTTGAAATTGGAGAAAATGATGCCTCCCATCTCCTTTCCCCCAAGGATTGCTTTGGTTATTTCGTTATTTGGGGGGGGGGGCAGGGGGAGGACGAGTGTAAGTGGTATTGTTCCATATGAATGTCAGGAGTGTCTGATCTTTGAAAAATGTCATGGGGATCCTTGTAGGGACTGCATTGAATCTGTATAATGCTTTGGGGAGTATTTTGGGCTTTTCTTTTTTATAATTTTATTTATTGAATCACCCTGAGAGCAGTTACAAAGCTTTCAGGTCTAAGTCTTGGTCATACAATGAAACCCCCGTACCTTCACCCGTGCCCATTCTCCACCCCCAACAACCCCAGTATACCCCCATCCCACAACCTCCCCCTACCTGTGGGGCAGATGATTTCCACATTTCTCTCTCTACTTTGATCAAATTCAATATTTTGACACCAGACACACCATTATTATTTGAGATTTTACCCCAACACTCAGTTCTGCTGAAAAGGCAACAGTAGACAATTTGTTTTCTATTGCAGGCTATGAATAACATATGATGTCGTGTGGCTGCAGTAGTGGCCACGCAATTTTGAAATTCTGAAATTTTAACACTTAAATCTGGAGGGATTTCTGCCAAAACCTGCTGGGTTCCGAGATTTGCTCCTGAGTCTCTGGGATCATGGCCGTTAAGCATTTTGATTAGGATCCAGATAGGCCGTTCATGGGTGGCAACTTGGGGTCTCGTTGGGACAGGGAGGAAAAGGCTGGCTCCACCCCCATCCCATGAGGCACAGCGTGTCTCGTCACTGAGGGCCCAAACCTGACTGTCTGCTGGAGGATGGTGGCCACCGAGCCACCAAGGGGGAGCAGGCAGAGGGACAGCACCCTTTCCCCCCTGGGGTGGCCCGACGACAGTAACCTACTGTGGGGTCCAGACGCATTTCTGCCAAAAGCTGCTGGGTTTCAAGATTTGTTTCTGAGTCTCTGGGATCATGGCCATTAAGCAGCTTGATCAGGAGCCAGAGAGGCCATTCGTGGGCGATGACTTGGGGTTTCGCTGGGTTGTGGAGGACAGGACCGGCTCCACCCCCATCCCGTGAGGCCCTGTGTGTCTCGTCACTGGGGGCCCAAACCTGACTGTCCTCTGAAAGATAGCGGCCACTGGGCCGCCGGGTTAACAGGCCAAGGCACGAAACCTATTCCCACCTGGGGTGGCCCAGCACCGGTAACCTACCGCAGGGACTGGACATATTTCTGCCAAAAGCCTCTGGGTTCCGAGATTCGTTTCTGAGTCTCTGGGATTATGGCCATTAAGCAGTTCCATCAGGAACCAGAGAGGCCATGCCTCCAAGTATATAGCTGAGTCGGAGGTGGTTTGTGGGTGTTTCTCCCACATACTTAACTTTTGGCCATTTATTTTCTTGATAAACTTTGCCCCAAGTTTTTGTGGTCTGGCCAAAGGCACAGCAGCAATTTGGGGGTATCTGGAAGTCTGAAGGCGCCATCAAGCTGCTGATGCACTCGCCTCACAGGTACAGATTGACCTGCTGGCGGCACCATACCCCTTTATTTTCATTTTCTTTTAGAGTTCATTTTATGCATCTCACTGATTTTTCTTTGTAGAAGTTGCATATGTATTTGTTTGTTTTGTTTTTGTGGTTTTCTTAGGTTTTTTTTTTTGTTTGTTTGTTTGGTTTTTTGGAGGGGGCACACCCAGCTGTGTTCAGGGCTTACTATTCCTGACTTTGTACTCAAGGGTCATTCCTGACAGCCTTGGGGGGACCAAACCTATGTTGGCCACTTGCAAGACAAGCATGTATCCACTGTATTATCCACGGTATTATTGCTCCTGTCCGTGTAGTAGTTATATGAGTGGTCCCTGACAGATGCCTGGAGAAGCCCCCCTTCCCTCCCACAATCATCAGTGGACATGAACCTTGCAAAAACCAACAGAAAAGGGGGTGGTAGATTGTTTGCCTTGCACACGGCCCACCCAGGTTCAATTCCCAGCATCCCTTATGGTCCTCTGGGCACTGCCAGGAGTAATTCCTGAGTGCAGAGCCAGGAGTAACCCCTGAGAATCACGGGGAGTGATCCAAAAAGCAAAGAAAAAGAACAAAAGACTTGTTACAATAAGGTTTAATTCCTTTGAGCATTTGCTTTGTTTTTCCAGTAGGAGGCACTGTGGCTCTAGTTTTGGAGTTCTTTCATTTTTTTTTAGGATCTTGGGTGTGTGGGCAGAGAGGAACTGATTACACCGATTACACTGATTTCTCAATATCCTAAAGGGAAGTTCCAGGCTGGGTATAAGATCCCTTGTGGTGTCTCTTTTTGTCATTGTGTCCATTCACAGTTTGAGTATAAAATCCCTCCTCCAGCACCAACTGCAGACATCTATTGCTCGTGACTGATTTTGAAGATAAGACTTTCCTAGCCTCTGAAGAGCAGTGGGAGAGGACTCGCTGTGCTACTGTGCCTGCTAAAATCCCTGGGATTTGGTGTCTGGCTACCCCCGCAGTTTCAGGAGGTTGTTGGCTCTTGTCCCTCCATTTTTTTTTTCTTCCTTCTTGTCCCTCTTTTAAGGAAGCTTCTTATAATCCTGGAGCTAGTCTTCCCCCACTTGGTCCTCAATTTACTGTCACCAGGACTCTTGTTGTTGGGCCTGAGTTGCATGGCAGGTTTCTCTGCATTTGCTTTCAAATATGAATTTAGAAATCTAATTGAATTTTGACACAGAATTGACTATTACTGTAGGTTGTCATTGTTACTGACAGATTAGTGTCATGGTGACTAACATAACCAAAACTACACTACTAAATTTCATCTGTTGGAGCCTCTCTGTCTGTTTAGAAAAAAATATTAATAATAAAACCAACGCCACTGAGCTCCTGGTCTCTGCTCTGGAGGATTTTATGGTACCACTGGTTATTCTGTCGGAAAAAAAGATTTTTCTCTTTTGCATATGCTAAAAACTTTTTTTTCAAAATGAGTTGGGAAATTAGAACATCTAAAAGAGCAATAATAGTCATTCAAAGATTTATACTTATCTGTTCGTTATTTGCTTGATGTTTTTATTTAATTTATGAGTACTGCTACTTATGCAGCCATTAATTAAGCTGATAGAATTGGGCGTGAACTCCACATTAGTATTGTTTTTAAAGTTTTAGTTGAATATCCACGAGATAGATCATTACAAAGCTGTTCATAATTGGATTTCAGTCTTACAGTGATCCAGCACCCATCATTCCACCAGTGTACATTTCCCACCACCAATGTCCCCTGTCTCCCTACCACCATCCCGTGAAACCCCAACCCCCCATCCCCAGACCCCCTCGATGGGAGGCACTTTCCTTCTTGATCACTCTCTCCTTTTCCTTTGGTGCACTGTGTTTTGCAGTTCAGGTGCTAAGTAGTCATGGTGTTTGTTCAGGGCATTTAGTGTTTTTATCGGGACAGTAATGCTGGACAAACTTTCCAATTGGGTGGTGCTTTGGGGTGTGGATGTGACTGCTGAAGCTTCCTGAAGTACAGGGAACTCTGAGAAAGCCTAGAGATTTCAGTCACAAAACCCACATACCAGAATTTTCAGATTTAATATCTTAGTGAGGTCCATCCTGAGACGGTGAAGTCAGGTTAGGGGTATGGTGCTGAATTTTGGATTGTGGAAGCAAGTGGCTGCTGGGGGCTCTGCTTGGGTGGTCACCAGACTAACACGCCCCCTTCTGATTTACCCTGGTCTGTTCAGCCACGTCTAAGATTAACTGCAGTTTGATCTCTTTCAAGATTCTTTTCTGGGTCTCTGAAATAAGGCCAATAAATGAGCTTGTATAGCTGACCTGGAGGTGGTTGGTGGATGTGGCTCCCAACATACCTAACTTTCGGCTGTTTAATTTCTTGGTAAACTTGGCCCCAAGTTGTTGGGGTCTGGCCAAAGGCACAGTGGCAATTTGGGGGTGTTCGGAAGCCTAAAGGCACTGTCAAGCTGCTGATGCACTCACCTCTGCAGGTACAGGTTGACCTGTTGGTGGCACCATACCGCCATATACTTTTTTAAAAAAAAGTACATAAAGGAATTTATCATCATGTTATTATTATTTTTATTTTTTACTGAATCCCCTTGAGATACACAGTTACAAAGTTGTTCATGATTGGTTTCAGACATACGGTGTTTCAGCACTTTCTCTCTCTCTCTCTCTCTCTCTCTCTCTCTCTCTCTCTCTCTCTCTCTCCCCCTCCCTCCCTCCCTCCCTCTCCCTTCTTCCTCTCCCTTCTGCCCTCCTTGCCATACAGGTACTGAAAGGTTGTTATCATGTATGTCCCTTTACCTACTTTCAGCACTCAGTTCTTGTCCAGAGTGATCATTTCCAACTGCCAGTGTCTTAATGGTCCATTCTGTATCCCAGCTGCCCTCCCCTCCCCAGTTTGTCACAAACTTCCAACCATGGACCAGTCCTCCTGGCCCCGATGATCTCTACTGTCCTTGGGTATTAGTCTCATACTGTTTTCTGTATCCCACAAATGACTGCAGTCATTCTGTTTGCCCCTCTCCTTCTGACTCATTTCATTTCAGCATGACCCTCTCCATGTCCTTGCATTTACGAGCAAATTTCATGACTTCGTTTTCTTTTTTTCCTGCTGACTGCGTAGTATTCCATTGTGTAGATGTAGCATAATTTCTTTATCTAATTGTCTGTTCTTGGGCATTCAGGTTGTTTCCAGATTCTGGCTATTATGATAGTGCTGCAGTGAAGAAAGAAGTGCAGAGAGCTTTTCTGCTGTAAAAACATTTATGCTTCAGTGGGCTTTATTTTCCTCTAGTCCTTTTACCTTTTTATTTGTGTATCTTGCAGTGACCAATTTGAAAAAATCTTTTACCCTTGCCCTCCTTTTTTTCACTTCTCTCTTCAGAATCCATCTACCGCAGAGGTGCACGCCGCTGGAGAAAGCTTTACTGTGCAAATGGTCATACCTTTCAGGCCAAGCGTTTCAACAGGGTAAATTTCATTTAATGAATGTTGATGACTTGAGAAATCTGTATTATGAAAGAAAGGTAGTCTTGTAATTTGCTTTTAAAGCAGTAAGTAAGATCACCTAACACTCCCAGTTTTGGGGGGCAGAACACTTTCTCTCGGGTCATTTTCTTTTTTGGGGGTGAGGATCTCACCTGATGGTACTCAGGGCATCATGTGCGGTGTCAGGGATCTAATCGTGGTTGACCATGTGCAAGCCAAGTTCCTTATTCCCTGTACTTTCACTTTTAATAGTGTGTTTTCACTCTTAAAACAGTTTCAGATTTAGAGCCAGAGCAATAGCACGGACGGTGGATGCTTCCCTTAAGCTCCGCTGGTTCTTTTGACCTCCAGCACCCCAGTATGGTCCCCCTGAGCCTGCCAGAGTTGTTGTTTATTATTTAAATTCCCCTTCATTTAATTATAATATCGACATAATATTATAGTGTAAAAATTAATATTCAGTGTAAAAAATATGATTGTTGGCTTACACCTGGCTGTGTGCTCAGGGATCGCTTCTGGGACCAGGGGCCCTACGGGGTGTCAGGGTCGGCTGCCCGAGCAAGCGTCCTGCCCACTGTGCTTTCACTCAGGCCCCTCCTGTGCCATAGGTTTTTCGGGGTCAGCTCATTGTTCCAGTTTTCATTACTTTGAACTGAATTTTATCCCTAAAGACCGGAATCTTGAATTTCTGTCGGAAAACAACCTCATTATCAATTTTGCTTTGGGGTCAGGGACATGACTCGAAGGATGGGAATGCCTGCTGTGCCTGGTGTGAACCCCCTCCCCGCACGCCCCTCGGCACTGCCTGTCACGGTCCCAGAGCGCCAACAGGTGGCCCAGGAGCAAAACTAAAACAGATGCACTCAGAGAAAAATCTTCTTATTTTCCCTTGACCACCGTAGCTTTGGAAAAGTATGGGGAAGAGAATTGAATTGTTTAATACACTTATTTTTCACTATTTTACGGACAGATTGTTGGGAATAATTATGATTTGTGTGTGTGTGCGTGTGTGTGAATAAAATACTGTTGAATTCTTACTTTTCCAGCGTGCTCACTGTGCTATCTGCACTGACCGAATATGGGGTCTCGGACGGCAGGGATATAAGTGTATCAACTGCAAACTCCTGGTTCATAAGAAGTGCCACAAACTGGTCACAATTGAATGTGGGCGGCATTCTTTGCCACCGGTAAGACACAGTTGTCCGTTTTAGTTGGTTTTGATAGACACTGCTGGGACAGAGCTAAAGCAGGGAGGTGGTATGAGTCACAGATCAAGTGTTGTTACAGAAAGTGAGTAGGAACGGTTTACAGTCCACAAAATCATGTGACTTTAGAATCATTATTACGGATTTGCTTATAGGGTATGGTTAACTTCTTTGTTTAACCTGCTGCAGAATCTTCTTGTCTAAATTAGGAAGATAGAGATGTTTATTTTCCTGTTCTTTCAGGTAAACTTACGGTTTACCATATAGTACTAATTTCCATATAGCACTAAGCAGAGATCAGTTAAATAGAGACAGGCTGGTGTTTGTCAAAGTATAAAGTGAAGGGAAGTTTTTGAATTTAAAGTTACTTTCATCTTCTATTTTAAATATGTAATTAAAACATTGCCAATTGTTAAATAATATAGAGAGGATTGAGGAAAAATGAAATATATCATGAAATGGGCTGCCTGAGGTAATTTGTCAGTTATATATCTATTGTGCTGCAACTTTTTCTTTGCAGATTTAAATTCATAAATATTAAAGATTTTTTTTTTAAGAGAGATTTTAGGCCACATTCAGCCATGTTAAGGCTTATTCCTCATTCTGTGCTCAGGGATCATTCCTGGTGGTGCTTAGGGGACCATATGTGGAACTGTGATTAGAAAGGCAAATACCGTACCCCCTGCTGGACTATCTCTGGGGCACAAACATTAAAGATTCTTGTTTGTTTTGAGGGCCACACCCGGGGTTTAGGGGTTACTCCTGCCTCTACACTTCGGAATTATTCAGACATGGGATGCTGGGGCTCAAACCCAGGTTGGCCATGTGCAAGGCAAGAGCCCTACCCACTGTACTCTCTCTACAGCCCGATGGTTATATCATTATTTTGCATATTTCTATGAAAGTGAACTCCTATAGGTGAGTTTTTCTCACTGAGCAGTATCTTTTGGTCTCCTCTATTTATATCCTCATTGCTCTGGGCTTACCATTTTAATTTAAGCCATCATTTTTTAGCACTTGAATTGCTTTCTAACTTTTCCTATCAAAATAGTTTTCGGGCTTGGAGAGATCGTACAGAGGTGCTTGCTGTGCATCTCACCAATGGTGGTTCACATTCCTGGCACCACATACGGTCCCCTTACCAGTGCCAGAGGGCTGTCCTGAGCTTTGAGCCAGGAGTAACCCCTGAGCACTATTGCGCATTGCCCAGAAACAACAAAATTTTTTTAACAAACTTTTTAAACATTGTTTAAAGATTTTTAAACAAACTTCCTGGTGATTTTATCATATTTCTTTAAAGATCTAGAAATAGAATTATTGTTTAATGGACTTTTTTTAAAAAAGATCTGGGTAAATCATTCTAAATTTTCTTCAAGAATGATTGTCAATTTTAGTAATATCTTATAGTATCTTCAGGTGAGTTTTTGGTAATTGAATTGTTGAATTATTTAGGAAGGGGTTTTTAATTAGTCAGGTGAAAATTCAATCTGAATGAAAAATAGAAAATCAAAAACTGAAAACAGATGTTTTCAGGTAACTGTTGATTTTCTTGTGTATTCTTTGGTGGGAACATTTACATGAGTTCATAAATGTAGGAAGAGGATCAGTAGTTATTGATAGGTTAGCATGGTTGCTAAAATTCATTGAAAAATTCAGATTCCATTTTACAGGCAGCCAAAAGATTAAAATTGAAACAAATAGTTGTTTTAAGTTTACCCTTTCCTACTAGTATTCATTAAACTTGGTTCCAAAATGAATGAGTTAGTAACTCATTTTTGAGTTTCCATTGTTCCTGAACTTATTGGCAATTTAGTTGCTGGATGTATTTCTTTTCACTTTTTGGGTTGCTGACACTTTTTAGAATTTTCAGAAAAGTGAAAAGACCCCCAAGACTTAGCACATTATTTTTAAGATATTTATGTAAAGTATGTTCTAGAGCTCAGCAAAAATAACTCGGATCAGAGAGACCCTTTTTGCCAGTGACTTAGAGTATATCGAGCTCAAAGGAAAAATAGGTTGTATAAAGAAGTTATGAATCAGAGTATGTGGGAGTTTAATTTTATTTCTAATTGATAGTCTGAAATTAGTTTTATATTTCGTCAGTTATCTGCAAATGTGACTAATCTTATTTCATCACAGGAATGCTGTATGATTTCATATTAGATTAAATGTAGAATACTAAATATGGTAATATAAATAACTTTCTAAGTTTTTTCTTTTTTTAAATATAAGTTCTGATATGCTATGTTTCATTGGAATGGTGTTATTTCTGGATTTTAGAGGTATTGGGATTTTAACAGACTAAGTTACCGTGTCTTTGGGAATGTTTGTAGGAACCAATGATGCCAATGGATCAGTCATCCATGCATTCTGACCATGCACAGACAGGTAAGAGTGTTGTGGGTGTGAGCCACTCCTGATTAACAGATGTTGAAAGACTATTTATTGGAAGACTTCTTTCATCCAAATTCAAAAGCATGTATCTTTTTTCCACATAAAAATTAGGGGCCGGAGGATAGCATAGCAGGGAGGGCATTTGCCTTGCACGTGGACAACTCGATGTGGCCGATCTGAGTTTGGTCCCTGGCATCCCATATGGTCCCCCGAGCACCGCCAGGAGTGATTCCTTAGTGCAGACCAGGAGTAACCCCTGAGCGTCACTGGGTGTGACCAAAAAGAAAAAAAAATTAACTCACCTTCCTTTGCATTGGTAAAAATCAGTCCAAGTATTTAAGATATGAATTTGGTAGTAGGAAAAATACCTGAAAACTACAACAAATAAGTGTTTCCTTTAATCAAATAAATTTCCTTTGAGACCCCTAAAATTTAGCAAACCCAGTTTTTTTCACAGCAATGAACACATATTAATTTGTGAGCCATGTTGAGTATATTTTTATTTTTCTTATTTATTAGTGTGTTGAGTATATATTTATTCAAAGCTCATTCTCAACATTGTGTAAAAGAAATTATGTAAAAGATACTCAGGTTAGAAAAAAATCATGTCTAATAGATACAAGGTCTTAAATATGTATCTGAAAATTTGGAAAGCAAATAAATAGAGTAAAGCAGTGTGATCTGGGCTTAGTCGTGGAAAGGAGGACAATGGGGTTTTCCTGGCAGAGCAGAATAATACCCTTGCTCATGGTCTCTTAGACTCTTGTGTGTGGAAGAAACTGGTTAGAAATGCAGGCTACTTCCCTCTCCAAGTCTCCACCCCAAATAACTTCAAGGACAGAAAGACTGGAATCGTCTTCTTTTTAGTGTTGGGGACACACCTGACAGTCACTCCTGGCAGGCTCTGGGGCATAGGAGGAGCCAAGTCCGAGCCGAGGTTGGCAGCGTGCAGGGCCCTACCTGCCCTCCTTAGTATCTCTCTGAGCCCTGGAGTCTTCTGGTCAGTTCTTTACTTGGTCTGTGTGATATTGGCAGTAATATTTTGAGTGTAAAGAAAGTGAGTCAAGAAAACCAGAGACCCTCTCTTGTCATGCCTCTGTCATGCCATTAAATAAGTAGAGTTGATAGTGACCTTTACAAAAAGAATTTCTGGTGAAATTGTAAAGAAAAATGTTTTCAAAATGGCAAAAAGGTCTGTGAAAATAATAGGTATTATTGGTGCTTGTTCTCAGTCTCATTAAAGATTAGAATTTAGCTCACATTTATGTGCAGTTTATTACTAGAAGGAGAGATACTCAGTTTTGAATGAAAAGCCATTCAGAAATAAAACCTAAAAATCAAATCAGGAAAAATGTCAGATTAAGTTAATGGATGCTTATGTTTTCTCCCTTTCGTTTGAAATCGGGATTTTAGTAATTCCTTATAATCCATCAAGTCATGAGAGTTTGGACCAAGTTGGCGAAGAAAAGGAGGTAAGATAATTTGTCATATTATACATTTTGTCATTGGTTTTATTTATTTGTTTTATGGCCATACAGGGTTGTACTTAGGGCTGACTCCTGGCTCTGTGCTCAGGAACCACTTTTGGGGGTCTGTCCGTGGATTTGTATTGCCACTGGGGAATACAGATCAGTCAAACACTTTCCCCACAATCTTATCTCTCTGGCACCTGTTACTTGTTTTGTGATAAGACTTAACAACTTTGAAATATCAAATTGACTTGTTTAGATTTGAAGCAAGATTTTAAATTGTATTTCTAAACTATAGAATTAAATTATTTTAGAATTTTTAAATTTAATCAGATAAGTTTTTTTTTGTTTTTGTTTCGCTTTTTGGGCCACCTCCAGCGATGCTCAGGGGTTCCTCCTGGTTCTGCACTCAGGAATCACTCCTGGCGGTGCTTGGGAGACCATTTGAGATGCCAGGGGTCAAACCCTGGTCGGCTGTGTGCAAGGCAAATGCCCTATCCGCTGTAATATCTTTCCAGCCTTTAATCTGATAAGTTTTAAAATAAGAAATAATCCTGCTAGTGTAACTTACTTTATTATTTTTAAATTTAATTGTATTATCATATCATGATTTACAATCATGTTAATACTTATTTTCATTTCCAGACAGCATAATATAAGAATTAAAATGTATTGTAATACACTTGTAGAAAATTTAGAAGTATTACTTGTAGTGTGGTTTATGGGCTCATTGTTTAAAGTAAATAATAAGCATCTTAACTATCTATTTTATTCTAGTAAGCATTTCATTGGTTATTCAAGCAAAATAACATTTTAATTTAAAGTATTTAAAATGATACCAGGGTTTTCTAAGTTTGTAATGAAATATATATTTATCTTGCTTTATGCTCCCACTGTCACTTTGACTGAGAAACAAGATCATTTTTAGTGTGTCCATACTATTTATACCTATTTTTCAGTTTTCATCCTTATGTATTTCTGGCCGTGATAGTTTTAGTTCACACTACCATCGCCCTTCTTCTCTCCAAAGTTTGATACTTGCTTTAATCTTAGTTACCTTTATTTAAAAAAAAAAAATCCAACACTTTATTATGATGGCTATTTCAAGCATAAAAATTTGTATCTTTATTTTATGTTGCTAAAGTGAACATTTGTAATCTTTTTAGTAGCCAGGTCCTCTGTATTTTGTGCAGAGGTTAAATGTGTCATTCAGAGGAGGAAATTTCAAATAATGAATTCAGTTTTAACATCATAAACTTTCTTCCATTTGTCCTTGAAGCTCTTTATAACTTTTCTTGATTTTAGAGTTGCTTTTTTGAATTTCTTATTGGCTTTATATATATATATTCTTGTTTTGTTTGGTCACTTACCAAACACTTATGCTTTTTACCTTTAAGTTATCTAAAACAGGGCCAGTGAGATAGAACAGGCCAGACGGTGCTAACCTTACATGTGGCTGAGCCTGGTTCAAATCCCTGGCGCCACATGTGGTCCCCTGGGTACCATGAGGAGTAATTCCTGACCACAGCTGAAAACAGAAAAGGAAATACTAAATTGAGTTCTTCAGAAACAGAGATAACCAGGGGCAGAGCGGTAGAACATCCAGCAGCGCTCCACGGGGAGCCAGCTACAGCTGGGCACAGGCGAGGCATAGATCTTGACTGCTGTTTGATCTCTCTAGTCGTTCTTTTCCATTCTGTGGTTTGGAGATGTAAGGAATATATTGAATGTGTCTGTAAATATAAAGAAATACAAGACAATAATGACTCATTTAAATTTGAAAATGCTTTAAAAATCATTCAGATGCAGCTGTTAGGAATTAGTGTATTATCAAAAATGGTGTCAGAGATAACTCTTGTTACAAATGTTCTCAATAGGCTATGAACACAAGGGAAAGTGGCAAAGCTTCATCGAGTTTAGGTCTCCAGGATTTCGATTTGCTTCGGGTAATAGGAAGAGGAAGTTATGCCAAAGTACTGCTGGTGCGATTGAAAAAAACAGATCGTATCTATGCAATGAAAGTTGTGAAAAAAGAGCTTGTCAATGATGACGAGGTAAGCACAGTCATGTTTTTATTATGTCCAAGCTGTTAATATAAAAAATTTAGTGTTAGCTGTTAAACAAACTTAAATTTAGTGTTAGCAGAAAATTCTGTATCAGTGCCTTTATTAGGAAAAAAGTACATGAGCTTTGTAAAAGTTTTTTAGGCCATTTCATAATATTAGGAAATTTACAGTGGTGGTTTCCTTTTTGTATTTGATACAAGGGCAAAACTAATCTGTGGTGTTTGGGTAACGGTTACTTGGAGACTGGCAGAAAGCACAAAATGGGCCACTGGGTTGTATTTGAATTCATTTTGCTCTGAATGGTGCCTTAATGTGTAGCCTACATAGTTAACAGTTGTATTTGTGATTATGAATTGCTAAGAAATGTATCATTAGTTTTGATGATATTTCAGTTTGACAGTTTTTTTTTCTTCTTGTTTTAAAATAGGATATTGACTGGGTACAAACAGAAAAGCATGTTTTTGAACAGGCATCAAATCATCCTTTTCTTGTTGGACTACATTCTTGCTTTCAGACAGAAAGCAGGTAAGATTAAAAGATAATGGAGTGTCCACCATACTGTATACATGTTTGGATTTCGGTTTGTTTTGTTTTGGAAGCACACCTGGCAATGCACAGGAGTTATTCCTGCCTCTGCTCTCAGAAAATCACACCAGGTGGTGCTCAGGGGACCATATGGGATGCCAGGGATCGAACTCGGGTTGGCCATGTGCGCAAAACAAGCACCTACCCACTGAATTCTCTCTCCAGCCCCCTATTTTTATCCACTTTGATATATTTCACAATAAAAAAATCCTTTCCTTCTGCTGTAGTTCCTGAAGTGGACATCCTGCAGACTCAACAGGGCTGTGTGTTTAATTTCCTGTTGTTTATATTATCAACTAGTGATACCAGTTTGACACTGGATCATTATTAGAAAATTACCTGCTTTTAGGTTTAAAGGAGACCAGGAAATAAGTATGCAGCTAAGAGTCAACCTTTTAAATATCGCCAACGTTCTAATTTTAGGGTTTAAAAAGTTTCTTAGAGTTTGGGGCGTTGGAGGCAGATCAGACCTTTATTGTAAGTGGCAGTTGGAAATGCCTGACCTTGCAAAATGCTAAGATGGAGGGAGGGAGGGAGTAGCTTTGGCTCGCAAGGGTGAGAAGGAGCATGTTACTGAATTTTTACTGGACTTATGGGGGTAGCACTCAGGGGACCATGGATTGGCAGGTATCCAAAGCCACGTATCCTCTCCACATCTCACCTAAAGGATGTGCTCCAGCCTTCTGAGCCATGGCCTGGATCCTGGTTCATTTCATTTTACCATCTGTGACTTAATAATTTCTACTTTACTTCCTTTGTCCCCACTAAATTCCTTAATTGCTGGTAAGAGGAAGTCCTATAGAATGCTCCCTTAGTTGTGACTGGCTTATAGCTATAGTGTTCATAATGCAAAGTTATGCTACCTATTTTGTTGTTATTTTATTGGTTGGTGTCAGATATTGGACTCAGAGCCTCAGATGTGTAAAGCACATGCTTATCCACTGTCCTTATAGATCTTTGTTTCACGTATCTTTGTTTCTCTTTCGTGTTTTAGATTGTTCTTTGTGATAGAGTATGTAAATGGAGGAGATCTAATGTTTCATATGCAGCGACAAAGAAAACTTCCAGAAGAACATGCCAGGCAAGGCTTTTGCTTTTTGTTGTTGTTGTTGTGTTAATGTAATTATAAGCAATTAAAAAGTATAAACAATCTGAAAGGGAAAGTATGCTAAATATAACTTTTTGGATATTTTGACTATTAGGCATCAACTTCTGCAATGACTGAAAAATTTACGCATACTTATTAAAATCTTTTTACGTTTGTGGTAATCTCTGTTTGACATAAGGTTATTAGATCTTCTATTTCATTGAGGATTATTATTCATATATACATGTATATGTACATACACACACGAGAGTAATAGTACAATTTCTCTTAAACTATTATGTAATTCTGACTATTCCTTTCATAGTTTCCGAATTGCCTTGTCCTTGACTTCTTCCTCCCCACCCATCCCATAACTGTCAAGACTAGAAGAAAAATTTATCCTTAAGTCTTCTATCCTTTATTTGAAATTGTATACAAGGTCGTAAATCATACATATGTTGGGGAATTTGGTGTTGGGGAAGTTGATGCGAAGTTTAATCCATCAGTGTCTGTTTTGTTTTGATTTTTACTCAAAATTGGTGATAATTCTTACTTTTTGCTTTGTACAAATAATGCTGTGGGGATTTGCATGAATTTGCATATAAATGGGGAACTAAGGTTAGAGACTTTCTTATTTAAATTAATGCTACAAATCTTGAAGTTCAACCATTATTTTTCTGGTTTTCATTATGTGAAAGTAGCAATTCTGGTTTTATATTGCCTTTGCTTATCTAGGACCCAAAGTATAGAATAACTGTTCAAATTAATTGAGTTGCTAGAAGGTGTGCACTATGTAACTTTGGGTGGAGGGAACTGTCATAAGCCAATTAAGATGTTGTTGTTGTTGTTGTTGTTGTTGTTTGGACCTAGAGTTTAGGTTACTAACAATGAATTTATGGCAGTTTCTAAAGTTCTTTAATATTAATTTATTATGTTGTAGAATAGAAGGGATTCTAAGGCTTGAGTTTTCTTTGTGTTCGAAGGCTGGTGGTTCTAGTAAGCTGGGGGTCATCGGTCCTTTGCAGCAGTGATGGAAGGTGAAAGGAATGTCCACATTCGCAGGCAGCTTCGCCTCCCGTTCTGTGGACTGCCTTGAAGCCATCCCAGGCCTGGATCAATACTGTCTGTCTAAGACTTCCAAATTAGCTTTATGAAAGTGTGGGTTTATTTAGATAGAAACATTAAAATTCTGGTTTAGGCTCTTGTCTTTTAAAACAGGTACCTCACTTTTTTAGTACCAATTCCTAAAAACACTAGTGAGAGAATAAGAAATGAGTTTGATGATTTTGTTTAAAGATTAAAGTCCTTGGAACTCAGCATGCTTGAAAAAATTTTGTTGAGATAAAGTTGATTGATATGGTTTTGAGGTACAGTATTATGTGGGGCGTGGTGGGCTGGGGGGCAAGGTTTGGATTCACACCTGCAGTGCTCAGGGCTCCCTCCTGGCAGTGAGGTGCGTGGGACCATATGCAACGTGGAGGATCAAACTGTGATTGGCCGCGGCTCTCCAGCACAGCCACGGCCCCAGAAGCACAAGGACTTAATGCAGAACCCAGCAGCTTGGAGCAGAAAAGTGAACGGACTATGCATTGATCCAGGCTATCAAGTCTGCCGGAGGGGAAAGGGTGTTGCCCCATTCGCCCTCTCCTCTCTGGAAAGAAAGATGGCGGCCACATGGGAGCCTTGTGGACAGCAGGTATGAGCCGGGGGAGTGGGGGCGACTAAAACCTCATGGGTCGGGGGGCGTTCCGGTCCGTCCTTCACGCCCTACCGAGGTCACAAGTCGCCCCCCGCGAGCGGCTCTCCAGCACGGCCATGGCCCCAGAAGCACAAGGACTTAATGCAGAACCCAGCAGCTTGGAGCAGAAAAGTGAACGGACTATGCGTTGATCCAGGCCATCAAGTCTGCCGGAGGGGAAAGGGTGTTGCCCCATTCGCCCTCTCCTCTCTGGAAAGAAAGATGGCAGCCACATGGGAGCCTTGTGGACAGCAGGTATGAGCCGGGAGTGTGGGGGCGACTAAAACCTCATGGGAAGGGGGGCGTTTCGCTCCGCCCTTCACGCCCTACCGAGGCCACCAGTTGCCCCCCACGAGCGGCTCTCCAGCACGGCCACGACTCCAGAACACAGAAACCAATTTCTTAACTATCTGACTTTCAGTAGAAATACTTCCAGGGTCAATAGGTAAAATAGCAGAAATCCAAAACCAACATTTAATTCTTGAACCCAGCTGTAGAAAGCAAATCACTTCACAATGCTTTTTCAGCATGTCTGATTTGGGGGGGGGGGGAACTCTAAATAATAGTGGTGAATCTTTTATTGAAACAATCTAATCAAAGCGGATAGAGTGTTAACTAGAATTCATCTGCCTCACAGGGACGGGGAGGGGTGGGGGGTGGGGTTTTATTGGGGTTCTTCATGGGAAAAAATAAGTATTGGTAAAGGGAAATGTGTTTGATATTTGCATGACTGAGACATAAACCTGAAAGCTTTGTAACCTTTCCCACAGTGATTCAATAAATAAATAAAAAAAAAAAAAAAAACTGTGATTGGCCAAGGGCAAGAACAAGCACCTTATCTCTCTCAGACCTTGGGCTCAGAATTTAAGGGTTTGTTTTCATTAGACGTTATCTCTTCCCTTGCTTTGTTCCTTTATATACCACATAGAACTTACTTTCTCCCTCTGACTTACTGTGCTTGGCATGATCCTGTCGAAGGACAAGGTTTCATCTGTTCCGATGAATGAAGAGTACGTTACATCTTCTCTAGCAATACATCTGTTGTTAACTCCTAGCTTGTTTCCGTTATCTTGGCTATATTAAGTAGCCCTGTAACGAATATAGTTGTGTGAGTGTGTGTGTATTTATATCTATGCATGTATATATATCTCTCTCTGGATTAGCGTTTTGTGTTCTTTACATAGATATCTAGAAGTGGAATTGCTGGGTCATGTAATAGTTCTGTGTTTGAGAAACCTCCATATTGCTTTCCAGAAAGATTGGACCAACTTACATTTTGTCAACCATGAATGAGTTTTTCTTTCTTCACACCCAGGCCAACAATTGTTATTTTTGGCATTTTTAATAAAGGCCATTCTCACAGGTGTTAGATGATATCTTATTATCCTTTGGAATTGCATTTCCCTGCTGATCAGTGATAATGGGCATTTTTTCCAAGCTCATTGGCCATCTGTTTGTCTTTGGTAAAGTGTCTGTTCAGCTCTTCTCCTCAGTTTTTGATGGGCTTGTATTTGGTTGTTGAGTTATATGAGTCTTTTACAAACTACTTGCATTTTAAGGCAAGACTTTTTTCTCATTTCAGAACCCTTTGTCAGATTTTTGATGTGCATATATTTTTCCGTGTCTCTTTTGTTGTGATTCTTTCTTGTGCAGGCTTTTTGGTTTGATAGAATTTCTTTCATTTATTTTTGCTTTTGTTTTCCTTGCTGATGCAATCAGATTGTTGAAGATTCCTCCGAAGTCAACAATCCAGCGCTCTCCCTGTGTTTTCTTTCATGGGCATCACAGTCTCGTGTCTGAGATCCAAGTCTTTAATCCATTTTGAGTTAACTTTCATGGATGGTATAAGAAAATAACTCACGGCCATTTAAAAATTGGAACCAAATGATTGTTTTTATTTTATTTTAGGTTTTACTCTGCAGAAATCAGTCTGGCATTAAATTATCTCCACGAACGAGGGATAATTTATAGAGATTTAAAATTGGACAATGTATTGCTGGACTCTGAAGGACACATTAAACTCACTGACTACGGCATGTGTAAGGTAAGGGACGTTCCCCGCTACTCACAGGACTTAAGAAAGTAAGGATGGCGTAATCACAAGACCTCTCAGTGCTCCCATGAAGTAATGCATATGCATATTTAACATTTTTAATTAGACTATGTTACATTTAAATTGGGACAATAGATCATTTTCAAAAATTTGCAGGGGTATAGGAATATGTTATCTTCTCCTAAATACTTTCTTTTCAACTGAATCTAATGCTGTTATCCATTATTAATGTGTTTTGTGCACATTCTTTTGAGTATCTATAAAATTGATTTTTGTTGTCATATATTAGCTACAAATGTTCTATGCAGTAAATATTTTGATAGGAGTAAGAATTTTTTTAAATTCATGACCTGTTTTGGTAAAAAAAATTTACATATAAGTTGGGAAAATGAAAAAAAAATAAGATGGGAAAATGGTTGCTATCTTGTATTGGATACTTTGTAGAATTCTAGCATAAAGACAAATATACTATTTCTTATATATACTATGCCATTCACAAAATTCTCTATTGTGTGTGTTTTATTACTCAGTTTCTCTTGTCTGTAATCTTCCTTGTCTTTTAAAACAATATGCTGTTATAGGGGCCAGAACAGCCTTACACTTGGCTAGGTAGGGCACTTGGCTTGCACATAGCTGACCTGAGTTTGATCCCTGGCATCCCATATGGTTCCCTAGCACTGACATGAGTAATTCCTGAGTGCAGAGCCAGGAGTAACCCTGAGCATTGCTAGGTGCGGCCCCGGGGGGTGGGGGGGGCTGGATGGATAGCACAGCGGGCAGGGCGTTTGCCTTGCACGCGGCCAACCCGGGTTCGATTCCCAGCATCCCATATGGTCCCCCGAGTACCGCCTGAGTGATTCCTGAGTGCAGAGCCAGGAGTAACCCCTAAGCATTGCCGGGTGTGACTCAAAAAGCAAAAAAAAAAAAAAAGTTGTGAAACTCAGGGGCTGGAGCAATAGCACTGTAGGTAAGGCATTTGCCTTGCACTGTGGCCGACCCGGGTTTGATTCCCAGCATCCCATATGGTCCCCTGAGCACCGCCAGGAGCAATTCGTGAACCCCTGTGCATGGCCAGGTGTCACCCAAAAAGCAAAAAAAAAAAAAAGGTTGTGAAACTGTTAAAAAAAATTGATATTTTGTTGACAATCCCAGTACTTTGGAATATCCACTTGCATGTCACCTTCCAGGTTTTACTACTAAGTAGCACATTTTAAATTTTTCTAAGAAGCCTAACATAATTTATAGTATAAATTCGAAAATCTGACAAAAAGTTCAAAGATCAAAGAATTGTGATTATTCTTTGTCTTTTTTATTTCTTCGTGTTATATTACAGCAGTATTCCATGTAAAGAGCCATTTTGTTTTCTTTAATAAAATGTGCGGTGAGGGCTGGGGTGGCCTCTGGCTCCTGGAGCACGGCAGGCGCCGGGCATTCAGGCAGTGCGGGAGGAACTTCCTGGACGCGGGTGTCCCCCAAACCAGACGTGTGGGAATCTACTCTCCTGGCGAGTGTAACTGAGACAAAATTACCTTCACGCTCCCGAGTAACAGTCGTGTGATCCTGTGATTCCTTTCTCTCCTTTATTTGTCTGAATAAAGGGTCTCATGAAGCTGAAGTTGATTTAAATGTGAACATTTAGCAAGACGTCTGATAATATTGACAGTTTAAGATGATCATCACTTTTTCATATGTAAGAAAAGAAAGTCACCACCTGAACTCTTACTTTGTGTAAAAAGCTCGTTTATCATTCCCCATTTTTATTTTCTCAAGTTTTTCTAGTTTGCAGGTTTTGTATCATGAACGTTAACAGTAGGAATTTAGGAGAGAAACTCCCACACAGCCATCATTCATATTCATGACACCTTTGTGATCACTGTCATTTTTCACCCAGGAATTTTTTTTTAATAATGTAGGAGTACTGCTATTTATTCAGCCATTGATTAAGCTGATTGAATTGGCATGAACTCGGAATTTTTTTTTTTTTAAATTTTAAAAGGAAACAGGAATTACGGTGCTTGCCTTGCATATGGCCAGCCCTGGTTCTGTCCTTAGCACTGCATATTGTTTCCTGAGTGTCTCTAGGAGTGATCCTTGAGCACAGAAACCGGAGTAAGCCCTGAGCACTTACACACTCCCACCAAAAAGAAAAAAAAATGTGACGGTAATAAAGGAAAATTAAAAACCATCAAGGAAAATTAAACTGAACAAAAAACAAGAATATTAACCGTGTTTAAAAGTTCATTAAAACAATAATGTGACTTTTGGGGAACAGCAACTTAGGAGATAATTATAAATGGTAGAGCACATACCTCAAATATTTGATTTCCTAATTCTGTCCCAGAACCCACATGCCCTCCAGCACTTCCAAGTATGGCTCTTGGAGCCTCCAAGTGTTGCCGTCCTGGACACAGAACCTGCCCCTCCGCACTGAGCCAAGCTTGGTGAAAGTGGCCTGACCACTCCACCTGGCACCGCTGGGTGCCTTCTGGTTTTTAATAAGACGCTGGCCAGGGAAGGGGTGTGGGGAGGTTTTTGACTTTCTTTTTTAATATTGTTGTATAAATTATCACCACTTTTTAAAAAGCGGTGGTGACGTATCAGAGATCTTTTTCTTAAAGACCATGATTTTCAAGGTTAATGATATTTGACTGTTAGGCAGGGCTCAGGCTGGAGCGATAGCACAGTGGGAAGGGCGTTTGCCTTGCATGCGGCCGATGCGGCTGATCCAGGTTCCATTTCTCCGTCCCTCTTGGAGAGCCCAGCAAGGTACCAAGAGTATCTCACCCGCACAGCAAAGCCTGGCAAGCTACCCGTGACGTATTCCATATGCCAACAGTAAACAACAAAGTCAACCGTAGGACAGTGACAGTGACAGGCAGGGCTCACGCAAGCAAGGCATGCACTCCCCAAGCCTTTGGTAGGAATGACCAAAAAAAAGAAAAAAAATGTATTAGAGGGCCCTACCACATTTACACGTCCTTGTGTTGTTAAAGCTTATGGGAAAAGAATTCAGTGGATTTTAAAGTTTTTATTTTATTACATAGTATATAAATGTTCTGAGAGTATCTCGCCCGCATGGCAAAGCATGGCAAGCTCCCCGTGACATATTCGATATGCCAAACACAGTAACAAAGAAGTCTCACAATGGAGACATTACTGGGCCCACTCAAACAAATCGATGAACAACGGGAGGACAGTGACAGTGACAGATATAAATGTTCATGTTATGCTGTAGATAATTTAACTAATGGGCCTGCGTCAGAAGTTCCCTGAACAAGTGAATGCTTTTGCATAGATCTTACAGACCAGCAGATTGCATCCCCTGCATTTGTGCCTCTAGGAGAGTTGTGTTGTCAGGGGTGGAGGGAGCCTCAGCCCCCACACATGCAAAGGTTCTGCTGCAGAGCCCATCCTGACCGCTCTCTGACTCTTGCCTTGAAAGTGCATCCATTCGTCACGAGGCTGTGTGAAGCCATGGCCCCTCATACAAAACAGCGTGACACACTTAGGTCTCTTCCTGTAATGGCAGATAGATTCCTATTAGGCTCGGAAGAAATGCTTAGAATCACCGCATACTGCTGTTTGTTCCAGATGTTCATATCAGTATTGTATATAATAGAATAGAATTTGAAACAAAATACAGACACACACGCCTAGCGTATCCCTGCAGGGACTCCTGAGATGCTCCCAACAGCAGTGGCCTTCAGGGCTCTGGAACTAGATATTTCTGGTCAGCTCTTGTAATGGCCAGCCTTGATTTTTATGTGTTCGCAATCCTCCGTTTATTTATTTATTTATTTATTTATTTTTCCTTAGCGAAGCAAGGTACTTTTTATTGAACGTAACTTGTTTAGAAAGATATGAGGGGAGAGAAGGGGGAAATTTATGTGCAAGAAAGAACACGGGCTCTTCCCGAGTGAAATCAGGCAGCGGTGGAGAGGACAGTGAGGTCCATGCTCAGGGTGAACATGCGCTTGAAAAGCAAGAGCCACCTCCCCCCTTTTTTTTCTTTATTATTGATTCCTTACTTGTGGCTAGAGATAGGGGCGTAATTGGTTCTTTGAAAAATATGGAGATTTCCTTCCTTTATGACTTAGTATTTGGTCAGTGTCAATACCACATGCACTTTTTAAAAACTTTGTCCTATTTTTAGAAGGTTGTTCACAATAGTTGATCACATTTAATATTTCAACACCAATCCCACCACCTTTATACCTTCCCACCACTGTATTTCAAATCTACTCATCCCGAACCCCAAATCCTGCCCCCAAGGCAGAACCGAAATCATTTATTTTTATTGCTTATTACGAATAATCTGCTAAAAATGATCCAAAAAAGTTTTCTTAGAGGAAGATGAGTGAAGATTGTTGTATTTCACCCAGGAGCCATTAAACCCTTGTGTAAGAGATTACTAACATGTTGTTAAGGGTTGTACCTTGTGTGCTTATATATGTATCTGTGTGTATGTGTGTGTGTATATATATATATATATGTGTGTGTGTGTGTGTGTGTGTGTGTGTATATACATATATATATATATATTTCCCCCTAAGATTGGTTGCCTCTACTTTAAACCCCATCAAATGTGATGTGCTGTCACTGTCACTGTCCTCCCGTTGTTCATCAGTTTGTTCGAGCAGGCACCAATAACGTCTCCATTGTGAGACTTGTTGTTACTGTTTTTGGCATATGGGATACGCCACAGGGAGCTTGCCAGGCTTTGCCGTGTGGGTGGGATACTCTTGATAGCTTCTGGGCTCTCCGAGAGTGATGGAGGAATTGAACCCAGGTGGGCTGCGTGCAAGGCAAACGCCCTACCTGCTGTGCTGTCGCTCCAGCCCATGTGGAGTGCTACTCTCGGTATATCAGAGGTGTGCCGATGATGTCACGCACTCCAGGAATAGATTCACTCATGGGTGAGGCTCGTCTGAGCGTGTGGAAGCAGCCGTGAGCATGGCGGTGGTTGAGTTCTGGAGGTTTTCGGCTGCCAGGGCACAGGGTCTGAAGGCATCTCTATGGCATGTCGTTCTGTGCTCTCTTCCGAGAGATTTATTGTTAAGTCCACCACATGCACTTTAAAAAGACTACGTTATCTCTATTAATCTTTGCATACAAGTTTGGTGGTCTTGTTTTGATTTGGTCTGTATGATCTATATCTGTGTGTATGTGTATAATTTTTTTTTAATGTAGAAGTGTTCAGATATCTTGGCCTGATTGGGGTTGTATTGTCAGTTGACTGATGCAAGATACCATAGACTAGATGGCTTGAAATTAAACTATTTTTTCATATCGTGGATCAAAATGACCAAACATATAGTTTTTAATATTGTTTAATTTTATTTTGCCCAAAAATTAGCAGAACAAAAGCATGTTTGATAATTTAGGAAGCTGGGAAGTCCAAAATTAGAGTGCTAGTAGATAGAGTTTTTGTTGAAGTCACTTTTGTGATTTGCAGGTGGGTGTTTTCTCCTTAAACCTCAGCACAGAAGAGAAAGAATGAGCTCTTCCAAGAACACAAATTCCATTTGCAGGGTCCTGCCCTCGTGCCCTCGTACCTCCTTCCTCTTGACCTGCCTCCCAGAGTTCAGCATTAGGGCTTCAGCATAGAAAGTTTGGCACCATCTTTCATAGCAGGGAATGTGAAATTAATCCTTCTGTCCATTCTTATTCCTTATATTTTGATTATGCTTATACAAATACGGTTATTTACATATGAAAATTTTGCCATTTATTATCATGTAGTTTCTTTACTTATGCATGTTATTGTGTTTGTTTTAATATACTTATTTCCTGTAGCTAATAAATTATATGACTTAAAAAATGCATGACCAAAGGAGACACATCATTGTGCCCGCAGTTGTTATGTTAGGAGATGAAAGTTAAAGTGCTTCTCTTCTTCATGAAATACAATTCCTTTCATCCAGATAATACGATATGACGTAAATCTTTCCCATTAAATTTTTTTCTTGAAAATAGTTCTGAGTGTAAATTTTATTATAACTGACTAAACTAACCTCTATTGATAATAGATTATATTAACTACTGCAATCCACAATTTTAATAGTAAAGGTAATTGTACTAGTGATGTGTTGATTGACTAGATATCTGCAGGAGCTAAGCTTATGTGATAGAAGAAATAAGAGCAAATTTAAAGAGTTTAGGATATTACTTCTTTTTTCTTTTCTGTTTAATAAAAGGAAGGATTGCGGCCAGGAGATACGACCAGCACTTTCTGTGGTACTCCCAATTACATTGCTCCTGAAATTTTAAGAGGAGAAGACTATGGTAATGAATAAATTGGTGGTATTTTAACTGTGGTTAGAAGGTTGTTTAAACATGAAACCAGTTACTTTATATTATGCTCTGGTAGTGCGGTGCTCAAATTCATACATCAGCTGTCTTGGTCCTCTTAAACCCCACGTGGAGACCCTAACTTGAAATACAGCCTGTTTGACCTTGGAAGTATTTGGTCTGCAGTTTGTTTTTGGTTTGAAGTTGCTGTCTGAATAACATGAATGGCAAACCCTAGTGGGTGCCATTTACATTTTAGGCAGTTTTTATGTACCTAGTTCATTTTCTACTAGTCCTGTGAGGTATAAACATGGGTAATTTCCACTTTACAGATGAAGGAACTGAGGCACAGAAAGTTTAAATAACTTCGCTTGGAGTCATATAACTAGAAAGTGGTAATGTAGAGATTTAAAGTTTAGCAGTCTAGGGCTGGAGATACAGTTCAGTGGGCAGGCGCATGTCCTTTGCATGTGGGAAACCTAGGTTCTGTCCTTGCCACCAGATGGTTCTCTGGACTGTTAGAGGGACAGCCCCTGAGCACTGATCAGAGAGTTGTCCTCTCAGCACTGCTGGGTACAGTTCAGAAACCAAAAAAATAAATAAAAGTTTAGTGATCTGACTCTAGAATTACGACTCTCTAGATAAATCTTCTGATTCTTTTTGGATTATTTAACCCCCCCCACAACACACACACCCCAGAATCTGAATTACGGCAGGAAAATAGACGCTTCTCGGGAATCAGAGGTGCTCTATGAGACAGTCTTTGACTCCAGCTGTAGAGGAAGATTGACGGCTCACAGTGTGATTCCTTGGCCCTTCAAGGGTTTTTAATCAACTCACTGAAGATCAGGATCAAGACCAAGAAAAGTTAATCCCCAAATCCAACTTAAATATGTCGTAAGAACAAACTATTAGATAGGACACACCAGTTGAAAATTGTAGGCCTGTTTTGGGAAAAGAAACTTCGTTTTCAGTTCCTGGTCTGTATTTTTTGTTATTGTGACCTCTCAGCTGCCTCCGTCATTGATAAGTCGACCTGTAGTCCTCAGTCCCACTTCGTACTTGGAGCACTGTTAGACTTGACTTTTTCACTGTTCATTTTTCAGGAATGCAAAGTGGATAATTCACTGCTTCAAAATTTCTTTCCTGAAGGTTTCAGTGTGGACTGGTGGGCCCTTGGAGTGCTGATGTTCGAGATGATGGCGGGAAGGTCACCGTTTGATATCGTTGGGAGTTCCGATAATCCTGATCAAAACACAGAGGATTATCTTTTCCAAGGTAATTGGCTTTCTGGAGAGTCTCTGTAAATAACCAATATTTCATAACAAATGAGCACAACAATTGAGGACAGCTCAAGTGACTACTTTGAAGAAGAAAAAGGAGCATGATCTGTAGTGTCTATTTATTTTATATGTGAGGCTGTAATTTTTTTTTTTTCTGTTTTGGGTATATAGTCTGCCTCTTAAAATTTTATTAAAGAATGTTGATTCATAACATTATTGATAGTTGTAGACATACACTGTTGTAGTATCAGTCCCACCGCCAGTGTCAACCTCACTGGCGTTCCCCGGCCCTCTCATGCCCCTCACCACCACCCCCGGCCAGCCACGTGACAGGCACATTTGAAAGCTTTGTTGTTGTCGTTTTGTGGGGATAGCTTTCCTTTTTTAGTGGTCTTCACTCTCATTTGTCACTCACTCTCTCATCTTGAACTTAACAAAGAGGTTCCGTGAGATTGTGTTCAATAGAAGTTTAAGGAAGGAGTTCTCTGGCAAGGGAAGTCGGCCTTGAAGAAACCCCATGTCATTGAACAGAACGGAAAGAAATAGACAAAGTTCAAAGCCAGCAGCACACAAAGAAGTGTAAAACCTGCCATAAAATTCTGCATTGCTAAATGTATTCATCTTGGGAGATGAAAAGAGGCTTGTAGAATGGGGAGTCCAGATGGCCGTAGGCTCTATGGAAAGAACCTCACTATTAATTTGAATTATATACATTAAAACACTAAGGTTCTACTGTTTCATGTCCATCGCTTTGGTAAAGGTTTTATGAAGTCTTAGCTGCTAATACGATACAGAGCAACTGAAGCTCGCATAGATTGCAGATGGAAATAACTGGCGGGAGGGCTTGAGAAGAACTTAGCTATATCTAATAAAATTGAATGTATCTGCATAATAATGTGTATTAAGCATTACCAAGTGAGGCCATTAGTCCTCATAGGAGTTTCTTAAAATAGCTATTTTTATTTCTGTTTTTAAAGATGAAAAAGCAACCATAGTTAGATAGTCATAGATAGATCCATGTAAATGATTAAAAACCTCAGTTTTGTGTCTATTTTGAGAAGCAAAGAGAGGAAAGAAACCGGTAAGTTTGTAAGGCGCTTCCATATTGTACATCTGGCTTTTTTTTTTTTTCTGGCAAGAGAAACTTATGTCTCAGTGAACATTTAATGATTAAAGCCAAGTAAATGCTAAGTGTAAACTAATAAAATTTGTACAATAAATTTTATCTTTCTAGTTATATTGGAAAAACAAATTCGCATACCACGTTCTCTCTCTGTAAAAGCTGCAAGTGTCCTGAAGAGCTTTCTCAACAAGGTATTAATCATACAAAATTTCTTAGTGGTTTGTCTTTGTACAAGTGGAATGCATAAGTAGAAATTTAAACAATGTTCAGTTCCAGACCAATTCTAGAGTAGGTAGTTCTTCAATTATGTGGAATTTTTCTCTTCACCAAAGAATAGTTTGATGGCATTAGTTCCAGGACGAGTTGTCTTTTCTGTTTTGCTAGTGTCGTCTACCTCCCACTGTATATTACATGTGGTATTTTTTATAGGGAACAAGATTTTGTTTGAGGAGTTAGTCTCAGTTGTACTTTGTCTTAAAATTTCTTTGATGGGCTAGAGAGATAGTTCGTGCAGAACTTGCTTTGCACTCAGCCAACCTAAGTTTCATCCTCAGCACCCCACATCGTACCCCAGACCATCAGGATTTATCCCGGAGTATTGAGCCAGGAGTAAGCTCAGAGCACTGTGGTGTGGTCCAAAAACAAAGAAATATCTATTTTTTTTGGTTTATTAATCATAGAATCTCTATGTCTTGTATATTTGGGACAGTAAAATTCCCTACATTCTTATGTCAAAAACTCTGTAATCAAAGAGCCGGAAAGGCGGTACACAGACTTGATTCCATCCCTCGTACACCATATGATACCCCAAGATCTGCCAGGAGTGATTTTCTGAGCACAGAGCCCAAGTCCGCCATGAGCACCACTGGGTGTAGCCCCAAAACAAACACCCCCCCATAATCAAAAATTCAAAGGAAATGGTTTACTTCAAAATTCTGAACACCATTGTTTGTTGCAGTTGGCTGACTAGAGAACTATTATAAAACTTCTCTAGACAAAATGTTAAGGTTTTTCCCAAACCTGCAACCATCTTTGAGCTAGTTAGATGCCAAAGGGGTGTCCTACAATTCAGTTTATTGGATATCAACATCTCAGAGTCAGCACAGGCACCATAGGCTCAAGGCTAAGTCTTACAAGACTGCCAGCCGCCTGTCAGACGCCAGTTGCAAGTATTGGGTTCTTGCACATCTGTCTGATTTAGTTATAGTCAGGGGTTCTCACAGCCCCTAGGGTGTGTCAGCTTCATTAGTTTGCTAGAAAGGCTCACAGACTCAGAACTACCAGCTGGTTTATCATGAAAGTGATACAAATGAACAAGGAGTGGCATGGAACGTGAATGAGCTCAGAAGGCTCCTAATGACACAGGAGCTTTCCCCAATATGTGGAAGATGTTCTCACCAACTCAGCGCCACAGCTCTCCTCGCTGGTGTAAAGATCTTCATGGAGGAACCATTGCATGTGTATATTGATTAATGAAATCATTGGCCACTGGTTATTGAATTCAGTTTTCAGCCTTTATGAAAATGATATTAAAGGTTCCAACCTTGGGCCAGAGAAATACTACAGAGGTTAAGATACTTTCCTAGGATGTGGCTGTGGCTGTAATCCTATCTCGAGCCCGAGTACCACAGAGCTCAGTGTCTCTCTCTCTCTCTCTCTCTCTCTCTCTCTCTCTCTCTCTCGCTCGCTCGCTCACTCACTCTCTCACTCTCCGCTCTCTTTCCTCTGGTACATTGCATGGAGGAGGCTGGATTTCATCCCCAGCACCGATGGTTCCCTGAGTACAACCAGGATTGGCCCGTGAGCAGAGCTCTGAGTAGACGTTAAGCCTCCCTCCAAAAAAGCCAAAAAAGTATTCCACCGCAGTCTGGAGAAAGGGCTCAGGGAGAGTGCACGTGTTGTATATGGTGGCCTGGGTTACAGATACTGGCCCTCCATGCTGCCCAGAGTGACCAGCAGTAGCCCCAAAAACCAAACAAAAAAAAAAGTAGTTCTTGAATACTGCTGAATGTGAAGTTAAAAACTCCCATCCTCCCTCCCAATGCACCCCGCAACATCCCCACCACACACACACACACACACACACACACACACACACGTACAAGTTCTGGCCCTCAAAACATGGTTGATTCCTCTGACAGCCAGTGCCCCATCCGGAAGCTCTCTAAAGGCCAACTAAGAGTCACTTTATGGTAAACTCAGATTGATTGAAAGGAACTTGCTAGTAATGAATGATACTTCCATCACTCAAGAAATTAGAAACTTGGGGCTGGAGCAATAGTACAGCAGGTAGGGCATTTACCTTTCACACGGCCGAGCCGGGTTCGATTCCTAGCATCCCATAGGGTCCCCTGAGCACCGCCAGGAGTAATTACTGAGTGCAGAGTGAGGAGTAACCCATGTGCATTGCCGGGTGTGACCCAAAAGGAAAAGAAAGAAAAAGAAATTAGAAGCCGCCAGGAACAATAGGGGAGCGCAGAAACCAAATAATCATCTTACTGTGTTACGGTTTGTCTAGGCAGTCACTTGGGGGGTGGGGGTGGCAGAATTCTACACCCAGAGGTGCTTGGGACAATCATAGATTTCACTTTAAATGGTGAGAAAGTACAGATAGGTGATACACATTTACCATGTAAAATAAAAGACAATGATAAATTTTAATAAAGCTAAGTGAAGCTAGCTTTAAACGAGAAAACATTTAAGCAGGCAACCTAAACTTTAACCCAGTGATAGACAAAGGAAAGTGAAAATTGAAGGTAAAAAGTATTCGGGGTTCACTTATTTTGCCTCTCACTCTAACCCATGCCAAAAAAAAATAAAGCTGGATGCATTTCAAGTGATGAAAACTCTTTTTCTCGAATTGATCTTTTGCAGGGAGCGTGATGACTCTGTGCCTTAATTAAATATTAAGTAGATTGAGAGCCTTGAGGAAATTTGCTTGTCACAAACTTCATGTACTCATCTGAGCTGTCCAGAAGGATACGGGTAGATCACTCTGATGAACCTGATCAGATCGTTCTGATTTTAGACATAGACGTTCATATGATAGACACGAATAGATCAGAAAGATAATTTATTACAAAGAGTGATACCCATTCACCCACTTCTTAAAATGTTTCTTAATACCACAGGACCCAAAGGAACGATTAGGATGTCATCCTCAAACAGGATTTGCTGATATTCAAGGACATCCATTTTTCCGAAATGTTGACTGGGACATGGTATGTAAATTTTTATTGTTTTTTCTTATAAGGTTGATTATCTTGGGCCAAGTTTTATTGTGTTGAAAGAATTCTAAAAATTAAATTATCAGCTTACATAATTTAAGACCATTCTCAAGTGCTTTGTATAAAGCTTTTTAATTCAAGCTTAGTGGAGCAGATTATGGTATTATTAAGGCCCTTATTAGTGTTTAGGACTGCCTAGGGACTCATTTTGGTATGAATGCGAAGCATATGAGGATTGAAGTGAAACCTAGAGGTGGAATTAATTCTTTTAAGAATGTAGGCCTGCGGGTCTGGAGCAATAGCACAGCGAGTAGGGCATTTGCCTTGTGCACAGCCTACTGGGGTTCGATTCCCAGCATCCTATATGGTCCCCTGAGCACCACCAGGAGTGATTCCTGAGTGCATGAGCCAGGAGTAACCCCTGTGCATTGCCAGGTATGACCCAAAAAGGAAAAAAGAAAAAAAAAAGTAGGCCTGCAGTCTTCATAGGATCAGGACGAGCCCCTCACGCATGAGAACAAAACCTCTGAAAAACCCAGGTATATGGGTTTTGTGACTGAAACCTCCAGGTTCGCACAGAGTTGAGAATGGTTGCCCTCCTTCCATCTCCCTGTGCTTCCTGGTACCTGGCAGTCACACCCACAAACTGTCTCTAGGCGCCATATAAGCCCATTAATGGCCCTGATCCAGAGATTCACAAATCATGCTGCAGAGATGTCTCTGGACACCAAAGTCACCATCCAGTTAAAAAAATTTAACTCATACTCTATGCCATTGATATACCAAGAGTAGCACACCACATTGGATGGGGTGTGTATGTATGTGTGTGTGTGTGTGTATACACACACACACACACACACACAGAAAGAGAGAGCACACACAAGGCTCAACCTGTTAACAACATGTTAGTGATCTCTTATACAGGAGCTTAATGGCTCCAAAGTGAGATACAACAATTTTCACACACTTTCCTCTAAGGAAACCTTTTTGGATCACTTCTAGTGGATTATTTATAACAAGCAATACAAAATGAATAATTTAGTATCTGCCTTTGGGGCAGGCTTGGGTGTTGATGGGAAAATTTAAAATAATGGTGGTGGGAAGGTGTAATGATGGCGGGATTGGTGTGGCAATGTCGAATGTAATTATTGTGAACAATTTTATAAAAATAAAATTCTTTAAAAATGTAGGCCTGAACTGTTACCCAATATGTCTTTCTAGATGGAGCAAAAGCAGGTGGTACCTCCATTTAAGCCAAATATTTCTGGGGAATTTGGTTTGGACAACTTTGATTCTCAGTTTACAAATGAACCTGTCCAGCTTACTCCAGATGATGAGTAAGTAATCCTACAGGCTGGAATATTCTCAGAGCTCTTTGAAGGACCCTTTATTAGTGACCATACAGTGTTTCATTTTCAGATTATATTATTTATCTACCCTTCCAGTTTCAGAATACTAGAATCCATTGTACTGTTATGAATTGTAATAACTGCCAGTTTCTACTTTGCTTTGCTTACATTACTGTACTTCTTCCACTTTTGTAAACCTAGGTGTTGTCTTCATTTTACAGATGAGGAAACCCGGGGCTCAGAGAGGTTAAGCAAAGTTACACAGCTATCGGGTGGCAGAGCCAGGACTCAAACCCCAGTCTGACTGACTAAGGCCTGTGCTCTTCCCTCTTTTTTTCCCCCTGCTTTCCATTTGGGTGATGATCATCTCTGTCTGAGTTCCCGAGTATTAAGCTCGAAAGGGAATCAGGTCAAAGGGTCTGAAATTTTTAAGTCTCTTGATATGTATTGCCAGTTAAAACAAAAAAAGAAGCATCAACCTAGAGTCAAGCCAGCAGATCTGATTGATTTTTTGGATGTGTTCATGTTGCTTGCTTTCTAAAATATCATTTAGCATAACTTGACTGTTTTAATCATCGACCGTTATTCTCTCATCTCAGAGGCCTTTACCTCCCATTTGACTGACATCTTGTGACTTGTGACATTCCTCACAACAGCTGTTCCAAACTGTCTCTGCGTTTCCAGAGTCTTCAGTCCTCCTCCTGCTTTGGTCATCACTGTGCATGAGCTGGCCTGGGACGGCTGCAGGGACGAGTCCTCCCTGAGTGGGCCTGACGTGAGCTTGCTCTCCTCAGCTGCCCAGTGTCTCAGACCAGCATCGCTTGCGAACCCTCGGCCCTTCCCTATTTTTCTGTTCTCGGTTCTGCAAGGGACACCCTCTTTGCCTAGACCAGTTTCTTCCATTTCCATGAGGATTTCATTCTGTGGTTTTCTTGTTACTTATTTTTGTTTCTTTTTCAGCTTCTTTCCACTTATAAACATGCTCAAAGATGCTCATTTCCCCCCCAAGCTTTAGCGTTTCTTTGAACCAGTACTTCTTTTTTTCATTTTCTTTTCCTCGTAAGCTACTTCAGAAGGAGTAGAAATTAACCATAAAAGGGAAAATAAGTATTTTCTTTGTTAAACTTTAGAGTAGCCAACCTTGATGGTATTATCATTTTGGGGTGAGGGGGTACACCCGGTATTTTCAGGGCTTACTCCTGGCTCTGCACAGGGGTCACTCCTGGTAGTACTCAAAGGACTGTATAGAGTGCTGGGGATCAAAATGTGGTTGGCCACATGCAAGGCAAGCACTTAAATCCCCATCCTGTCTCTCCAGCCTCTATATGATATTTCTGTGTGTGTGTTGGGGTGAGGGGAAGGGGGAGTAGGGCATATCCAGTGAAGCTCAGTGGTTACTCCTCACTCTACACTTAGGAATTACTCCTGGCAGTGCTAGAGGACCGTAAGGGAATGCTGGGACTCAAACCCAGGTTGACCACATGCAAGGGAAGCACCTGTACCCACTGTGCTATTGCTCTGGCCCTATGATTCTACAGATTTTAGTTTTTAAATTTAGTTTTTTGGGGGGTTGAGTCACACCCAGCGATGCTAAGGGGTTACTCCTGACTCTGCCTTCAGGAATTACTCCTGGCGGTGCTTCAGGGGACCATGTGGGATGCCAGGGATCGAACGCAGGTCGGCTGTATGTGAGGCCAACGGCACTGCCTGCTGTACTATCTCTCTGGCCCTGATCCTACAGATTTTAAAGATTAATTGACTTCTGATTTTTTTTTATTTTAAATCATTTTTTTATTAGTCCTTGTAGCATTTGGTACTTATTTTATTGGTTTTGCGCAGTCTGGTTCTGCTTTGTCTCTGAAAGCATACTTGTCACTTTTTATCCTTCGGTCCTCGGAGACTAGGATGCTCCGTGGATTTGTTCATGGCTGCCTTGTCTTGACTGGATGCAGTTTGTGCCTTGGAGATTTCAGCCAGCCATGTAGCTACTTAAGTGACTTGCAGCTAAATTGGCAAGCAGTTATGGAGTAAAAGACACTGTGCTCAGTAGTGGCCATTCAGAATCTATTGAGACACAGGCCTAACTCCCCAAAATCCTCCTGTCTACTAGAGGAGAGTGATAAGTGCGGAAATTATTTATGATGGCATCGTGTGTTAACAAGAGCCCTGGACTTAATCAAAAGAGAAGGATTTGAATCCCGATGCTACCACTTACCAACTGGGTAACCGTCAGTATGATTTGCATAACTTCTCTGAGCCATTTCTTTCTGTTTGCTTACTCACACGGTTGCTGAGGAAGATTAATGGTGGTTTCTGAAGTAAGGCACCTACCCCCACCCCATATCTCTCCCGAGCAGCAGTTCTAGCTGCCTTGTTTGTTGGACAAGTCCCTTGAACGCATGAAGTCTAAAAATCAAGTAATTGCCCTCTTTCTTTCTTTCTTTCTTTCTTTCTTTCTTTCTTTCTTTCTTTCTATATTTTCAGCCAGTTCTTCATTTTTATTGACTTGTTTCTGCTCATTATGTCACCATGTATTCCTGCACTCAGATTCATAATATCATCATTTGCTCCTTCTCCTGTGTAATCCCTTCAGCTGCCAAGTCCTTGTATAGCCTTCCTTTACTTCGTCATTTAAATCAGAGCCTTTTTCATTCCCATTGTTATAAGCACAGTTCAAATCTCCTTCGAGTCATGCCTCGGATATTCCACTAACCCCCAGCTGGTCTCCTTCCTCGTCTTGTAGCCCACTTTGTATCCCCCAGTTCTTTAATTCCTCTGATTAGAACGCTTCAGTAACTTCTGTATTTCAGAGCAGCTTGGGTCTTTCATCTTGGGCTGAGACAGCTCAGCAGGCCGGAGTGTCCGGGTTTCGTCCCCTGCACGCCACGGGGCGCACGAACCCAGAACTGATACTATTTAAACTGTGGCTGGGGATGGCCCCAAACCATAAATCCTCCCACTTGACCAACATCGAAGGCCTCCCACCACCTCCGACCTCCTGAGCCTGATCTCTTGCCACGCTTTGTGCGGTCCATGGCTGATCCATCTCAGTTGTGCAGCATTTCCACACTAAACCAACATTGCGCTGTTACCTTTGCTCACGCCACATCCTTGTGTTCCTTGATTTTTACTTATTGAAACATCCCCCGTTTTTCAGTTACCCCTAAGGCAGCCAGATGTTTGGTTGCAGGGTGAAAGCCCCTAGCTTGAATATCGCTGGCTTCCCCGAGCCGTTACTGTCCTTCCTAGTGGCATGCGGTGTTAACACCTCTATCCCAATTCTAATACGCTATTTGTGTTTAGAAAATAGATGTAGAATCTTTCATAATTCCATTGTTTGTGGAATGAATACTGCCTTTCTCGATTTCTCCAACAAGAAGTCATCCTTTTTTTATAAAATTTTTTAAAATTTTTTATTTTTGGGGGGGGGGTCACACCTGGTGATGCTCAGGGGTTACTCCTGGCTTTGCATTCAGGAATCACTCCTGGCGGTGCTCAGGGGACCATATGGGATGCTGGGAATCAAACCCGGGTCTGCCGCGTGCAAGGCAAACGCCCTACCCGCTGTGCTATCGCTCCAGCCCCAAGTTATCGTTTTCTTAAGAGTAGATTAGGACAGGTCCTAGCACTGTCCCCTATGAAACTACAGGTAATGCTTTCTCTTTTAAGTTATTCATGAGCTATTTCCCCTCCTTGAAAGGAACTATATTCTGTGTAAATTTGTGCTCTGTGGTTTGGTTATCCATTTATGTATTGAAATATTTGATAATACTATTCACTCTTATTGTGTATTGAACTCGAAGCCTCGTGTAACTGAATGTCAACCTCCCCGCTCTGTGACCTGTTATCTCCCTGTGGTGTTCTCTCCTTATTCCAGGTTTTTCAGTGTACTTGTTCCTATTGCCTTTTCCTTTTGGGTAACTTCTGGGCCTCCTCTTCACCATCTTTCATCTGGCTGTTGAGGTGACTACTGCATTGAATGCTAATTCAGACCTGGATGCGCAATTATGAATATTGTTCACGTCAAAATTTATGATCCACTAGAATTGGGATAGTGTGTGCCTATTCTTAGTCTTCACTTCTAGATTGCCTTTTGTTTCTAACTTGCTACGAGAGTATTAGTTTTTGTTAATGTTTTTAATACTCAATTCTAGAAAATGTTCGGGGGTTAATCCATAGACTTATAGGAATTTTCCCCATACTTTTATGTAAACGAGCTTTATTTTTAAATCTTGTTTTTGCCTTTTAGTTAAAGTTGAACAAATCTTGATTATGAAAATTATTTTTTTTCAACAGTGACATTGTGAGGAAGATTGATCAGTCTGAATTTGAAGGTTTTGAGTATATCAATCCTCTTTTGATGTCTGCAGAAGAATGTGTCTGATCCTCATTTTCAACTATGCATTTTGCTTGTCTCGCTCTTTAATGCATGGATAAACTTTACGACCCTGGATACAGTGAACCATTTTATATTTGTCACCTATAAAAAGCACTCATTATCTTCTACTGTTGACTATAAGAGTCAATTAGTACATCTAAATCTAACTGTGAAAAAAATTAAAGATAGTTTTCAGACAGCTATGTCAGAATTTAGTTACACTGGTAATCCAGCAGCCTACTGATGAGTAATGAAATTGTCTTTTTTTGTTCAAAGGAAATACCACTGCTTTAAAAAAAAAAAGACTATCTGTTGCATTAAAGCATATACCAGGATCACATCATGAACCTACCATGATTCTTGTTCTTCTCTGTTAAGTCATTTAAGTGAATTCAGTCATTTGACTGACTCTTAATTTTGGAATAAAAGATTAATTCAAAATATAACATCTTGTTATGTTACCTATTAGTTTTGGATTCCTTGTGTTTAGAAATTCAACTGGAAATTTTTATCATTGCCTTGAAAATGATTGGTGTTTAAGACAACAGTTGTTAAATTGGTACTAAAATATTTTGCTTAAGAATTTGTGGATACTGAATTCCCTTGTGGAAAAAAGATAGGCGCATTTTTTTGTGATTCAGATTCCAAATCAACAGCTTTTCTGTTTGATATAAGTGATTTTTGTTTTTAAGGAGCTTTTGAGTTTTTCCTTTTAGCCAGAACTTTATAACTAGAGTGTTAATGAATGGAGTTGCATGGACCCATGATTGATTGGAATGTATTTCGATAGAAGTTTGAAATAGATACAGACAAGTGCAATGGTAATATTTATTTCTTGTTGGAAAATAAACCCAACGTTTTTTGGGTTTTTTTTTTTTTGTGATGTGACTTACATGAGACACTCACTGTGTTATCAAAAATAGAGACTCATTCCACTTATCTGGAGAACGCAGAATGTATACTTTTCCTTCCTTATAATTTGGTACGTGGGGAAATAACTTATCGTCCAGATAGTGTCTTAACTAGCTTGCTTTTTGCCCAGAATCATATTATTCATATTTTTAAACTCTTTTTTTGTGGACTTCAATGAAATTTAAGAAAAATAACTTACATTCAGGATATGTATATGCACATCACAGTTCAAATTGGTATGTGAGATTTTATAAATAGGTAATACATGTAATACAGAGTAGAGTACATTTCAAGGGCAAAGTTATTCAGATTATATTTTATAATATTAGTGTTTAGCAATTTATTTAAAAGGATGAGAGATGTCATCCTTCTCACTTATTTTAAATATTTTTTTATGCAAAGGGATTTAAAACATAACCATGATCTTCTAAATTAATTACGCCATGTAATCTTAGCAAAATTTATTTTGGGGGAAACTAGTTTTACTTAAATTTAGACTCACTTAAACCTCTAGGCATTTAATAAATTATTTTCTTTCCTAAGGGGGTGCTACATTTCATTTGAAATGTAATTTTTTTCAAATCTTCTGGCCACATGCTCTCTCCAAATAGTTAAGTCTGTGAGCTAGAAAAACCTCAGTGGAAAATGTTTATATTTCCTGCTTATTTCAGAGATATATGTTTCTCTTAATACCTGAAACTTATTTTAAAACAAAAAGCAGTACTTTGGGTCATAAACTTATAGAAAAATTGATTATCAGTGTCAGAAATATGTTTATGATCTTGCTTTTAAGTGGTGCTGTTTTCCCTCGGACATTAGTTCTCAGATTTTTGGTTTTTTGTGGGGCCATACTTAGTGATGCTCAGGGGTTATTCCTGGCTCTGCACTTAGGAATTATTCCTAGTGGTCCTCAGGGAACCATATGGGATGCTGGGGATCAAACCTGGGTTGACCGTGTGCAAGGCAAGTGCCCTGTTCTCTGTACTATCGCTCTGGCCCAAGTTCTCAAATTTAGAATGTGACCCTATCACCTAAAAAGTTTGTTTAAAACGCGTATTACTGGGCTAACTTTAGAATTCTGTTGGATCATTGGGCATCCTTTTGAGAAACACTTTAAATTATTTTTCTTTTGTCCAATAGTTAGATTTTAGAAATATTCATTTGAGATGGAGTGTCAGTGAGTTACTGTTCTTACCTATAATTTCAATTTTAGATAAATGTTGAGCTAAAGGCTTCAAATTAGATATCTTCTCCAAAAATTCATCAGTTTTCTACCAATAGTATTACAAATGATAAACATTTTTCTATGATGGGGTTTTAGCCATTATTCAGGGTGGTCTTTTGTTTTAAAATCTTTTTTTAAAAGAACTAATAAGATTTACTATGTGTATTTTATACGGAATTGGATTACAAATGTTTTTACTTGTGTTCTGTTTTTATAGTCTTGAAGCTCCATGCCTGTTCTTTTTTATGTTATGTAAAAGTTCTTTCCAAATACTCACCAGGGGAATAAGGTAGTTCGTTGGCAGAATGATGACGATTTTTGTGTTCTCAGAAAAACATTATTTTGCATAAAGCATATGGTCAGATCATTTTATGTATATGCAGCCTGAATTGGATGCCAGGTATTAAGCTTGTTTATACCTGTTCATTTTACCTAAAGGGAAAAAAAAAAACCTTTTCTTTTTTAGTTTTGTCATGTGAAATACTGCCTTGGTCGTCACAATGTAATCTGTTTTTATGTACCTTTTTTTTTTTAAACTTTAAATTCTTTAAATAAAATGTTTAATACTCATCACGGTTAGAACATCTTTTCATCTGTAAATATAAGAAATTTGTGTACAAATAGGGTATGTCAAATTTTACTCAGGAAAAATGAAAATATTTGTGTTTTATTAAACAACATTTTGGTAAAACTGATGCTATATTGTAGACATTCACTAGAAAAATATTATTAGCATATATTTTTGATTTGCCTTTTTTGTCTCGCTTCTGCTAAAAGATAATCAGCAAAATCAGCCGAACATAGAACATTCAAACTTTTGTTTTTAAATTGAAGCAAATTTAAATAGATCCAAGACAGATTATTACCAGATTATGTTCTCCATGATCTGTTTCAAAGTTTCATCATCACTTCTTTCTCAGTCAGATATGTCAACATATATATAAACAAGTGTGAGTCTGATGTCTCGTACTTATCACCCTCTTAACAATTACTGAGTATTTCCTCCTCTCACAAGAGAATGAAAAATCTTTTTTAAGACACTGTGATTTGCAGTTATTCATAGTTGCATTAGGCATACGGTTCATCCTTAGGCTTTCTGTGTTAGCACAGTTCCACCGCCAGTATCAATCTCCCTCCGCCAGTGTCTCCGGATTCCTTCCCCTCCCTCATCCCCCAACCAGGAGAATGAAATCTTTAGTGCCTTTATTTATTTATACTTGGGGGCCGGAGAGAATGTTAGAAAATAAAAGAAACTACATACTCCAAGTTGGATGTATCGGCAACTCCAAAGTGTGAGCTATGCAGTGAAAGGAAAGGAATTCTGCACCCCAAATTGGGATGCAGGTGACTCCAGAATGCAGTCAAAATCATGAAAAGGAGGACACCCCTCAGGGGGGTGGTGTCATTGTGGTGAGTGTGCAGGGGCGTCGGGGATCGTCAGTCAGCGTTAGCTTCTACACCACGTGGCTATTAAAGCCCCAACGCCTTGGGTCGTGGTGAAGACCATGTCCATTGCTGATGGGATGACATCTGCTTCAACAGAAATTTCTCCCAAACATAGGCAAAGGACTTCCACACTACCTAGCAGTACCACTTCTTGTCATCTATCCCCCAAGCACAGAAACATTAATTTAAAGGATCGTGTACACACCTATATTCATACCACTTAGTACAATAGCCAAGACATGGAAACAAATCAGATGCCCAACTATGGATGAATGGGTCTAGAAGCTGTGTATAAACACAGTGGCATACTGTAGCTCAGAGAAAGAACAAAATCATGCAATTTGCAGCAACATGGGACTAGAGGAGAGTAGAAAGAAACCGATATAAAATGATATCTCAGGGGCTGGAGAGATAGCACAGCGGGTAGGGCGTTTGCCTTGCATGCGGCCGACCCGGGTTCGATTCCCAGCATCCCGTATGGTCCCCTGAGCACCTCCAGGAGTAACTTCTGAGTGCAGAGCCAGGAGTAACCCCTGTGCATTGCCGGGTGTGACCTTCCCCCCCAAAAAAAAATAAAAGCAAAAAAAAAAGATATCTCATGCACACGAAGTACACATGTATTTAAAAATGCACAGCAAAGTAGCAATAAAGGGGGGTCAAAGGCTGCACATGAGATAGTTGATTCACAAAACTGGAATGGGCAGGAAGCTGGAAGGGCATGAGGTCTTTGGGGAAGGAAGGTGAGTACACTGGGTGTGGTGTTGGAATTACGTCCATGTGAAGCCGTCATTTGTAAATTGTAAACGCAGACCCAATTGATTTTTTTAAAAATGTGTAAAGACTCGGATCTTCACTCAAGTAGATGTCCAGTTGCACCGAAGCCTGCCTGGTCTGCACTTGTGCCATGTGATTCACTTTCTACCACCCAAATTTCCCTGCCTCTAAAAGATGTTTTTATGGGTTGAGGCACACAGTGGTCCCCTGAGCACTGCCAGATGTTATCCCAGAGCACTACTGAACATAAAAAAGAGCATTTATCAGTGTCACACATGAAACTTGAAGTTTATTTTGCAGGAAGGGCGGGGAGGTGCCATGCCCAGCAGTGCTCAGGGCTTACTCCTTGCTCCACACTCAGGAATCACTCCTGGTGGTACTCGGGGAACCATGTGGGATCCTGAGGATAGAACCCAGGTCGAGGGGCTGGAGCAATGGCACAGCGGGTAGGGCGTTTGCCTTGCACGCGGCCGACCCGGGTTCGATTCCCAGCATCCCCTTTGGTCCCCTGAGCACCGCCAGGAGTGATTACTGAATGCAAAGCCAGGAGTAACCCCTGAGCATCGTTGGGTGTGACCCAAAAAGCAAAAGTTAAAAAAAAAAATCCATGTCGACCTCATGCAAGACAAGCACTCTAACCACTGTGCTATCCCTCCAGCCCCTGACACTTGAAATTTTGAAACTTACATATAATCAATTCATGCCACATATTTTTTTCCCATGTGGTAAATTCCACAGTTTTCTGGATTCTTATATACAAAAAAATCTTAGATTATGAGATTATACACGCATACACATTCTAAGGTTCTTTGGCTTTTCTGCTCAGAAACAAGGATTGAATTTTCTGTGGAGCTGGGAAACTGTTCTGTATCATTTAAAAAAAATGCCCTCACCCCTCCCCTTCACTGTTATTAGCCAAGCAGGGGTGGCAGCGTGGCTGTGGGGCTTGCTCAGGGTCATCCATCAGGTTTGCTTATACATTGGGTCATGCGCTTTGCTGTGCTAGCACCTGTGATCCTTAAGGCTTGCACTCGAGTTGAGGGCCACGGATACGGTTGTGTTTACTGGGGGGCTCTTTCTTGCTCCTACATGTGCTTACTCACAGCCGTCTTAGCTGTAATGCTTGCAGTGTGCAGTGGGGGGTTATACCCTCTTTGTGATGCTCACACATCTGGCTGTTGTGCAACCAGAAATCACTTGTAAAAAAGAAAGAGAGGGAGGGAGGGAGGAAAGGAAGGAAGGAAGGAAGGAAGGAAGGAAGGAAGGAAGGAAGGAAGGAAGGAAGGAAGGAAGGAAGGAAGGAAGGAAGGAAGGAAGGAAGGAAGGAGGAAGGTCACGTCACTTGTACTGGAGATCACAGAATCAAACTGCCACACAGACATCATCGCTCTGGGATTGTGCTCCTGGCACACCTGGGCCAGTTTGAACTTGTGGCCAGAACTTGCAAGGCCAGTGCTCTAAGCCACTGCTCTATTCTCCTTGGTCTTGATCACAGGTGCCAGCACAACTCAAGAAATGCGAAGCTCACGACCCAAAGTGCAAGCACAACCCTGAGCAAGTCCGCAGCCACACTGCTGCCCCTGTGTTATTGTAACAACAGTGAAGGGGAGGGAGGTGGGGAGTTTAATGATACAAAAATGAGGGGCTGGAGTGATAGCCCAGAGGGTAGGGTGTTTGCCTTGCACGCTGCCAATCCAGGTTCAATTCCCAGCATCCCATATATTCTCCCAAGCACTGCCAGGAGTAATTCCTGGGTGAAGAGCCAGGAGTAACCCCTGAGCATCTCCAGGTATGACCCAAAAGGCAAAAAAAAAAAAAAAAAAAAGATACAAAATGACACAAAGCAGATTCTATACAATCCAGCTCTGAAGTTTATAATTAAAATAAAGCAGGCTCAGAATGTGAGCGATTCTGGGGTATAAAGTGGCAGTGCAGTTTATTTTCATACAGCAGTTTGTGCCTTGCTGGCATTAGGACCATATTTGGCAATTACTAGGGTTAATGTTTTTATTAGTAAAGAGAATTGCAAGTATATAAGTATATAATCACATGCTGCTAAATGTGATTTCTTAGGATATCCAAAAGTTAATGGCCATGCCAGATGGATCCAATAGACTTGAGAACTTCAGCTTGAATTTTCATTGACTGTTAAGCACTTGATCAGAAGGAAATTCTAATTATGTACGAAGCAGCCCGTTAAAAGACTAGCAAAATCCTTAAAGATTAGATGCTTTTCTTTTTTTCCTTAAAAGGGAAATACTGACTTTCTAGAAGTCGTGCCACATAACTAGACTTAATATACTTGATATAAACTGTCTGCAACGTGGGTGGTTATGCTTGGTGGCTTTTTATATTATTAATACTTTGAGAAGTAAAATCATTAAAGATAGCTTCATATAAGGAGATAATTTTTTGTTTGTTTTTTGGGACACAACCAGCAGTCTTTGGGGTGCACTCCTGACTGTTCCCTGGCAGTCATGTACCAGGGATGGAGCTGGGGTTCAGTACTATCTCTTCAGCCTCACAAGGACTTCATTGTTCTTTATGGGGCTGGACAACAATCATGATCTTTTCCAGAAAGTGTTTAAAGTTTTTTTCCTAGGAACTTCAGATCTTTATTTTTATATTTTTAATTTTGTTTGGAGACCACACCTGGGGGTGCTCAGGATATCTGGTTCTGTGTGGAGGGATCACTTCTGGTAGTGCTCCAGGACCACATGTCACTGTCAGGGATCTAACCGATGTCAGCCTCAGGCACGACGAGCACCCTAAGCCCTGTGCTATTATTTCTCCAGACCCTTAAAAGTCTTTTTTTTGGGGGGGGGGTCACACCCAGCAAGGCACAGGGGTTCCTCCTGGCTCCGTGCTCAGGAATTACTCCTGGTGGTCCTCAGGGGACCATATGGGATGCTGGGAATCGAACCCGGGTTGGCTGCGTGCAAGGCAAACGCCCTACCCGCTGTGCTATTGCTCCAGCCCCCAAAGCCTTATTTTTAAGGAAACGATCAATAAAAAAATCTTGAGATTCTGCCTACATAACTGAGTCTGTGAGGACAGGAAGAGGAAGAGAAGGCATCTTTTTTTTTGCAAACCAGGGTGGGTTGCAGTGTGCCTAGAACATACATTCATAGTAAATCATGTACCTTAATGTAAAAAAAAAAAAAAGAAAACTGGGTTGGGGTGATGAATCAAATGATAGATCACAGGCCTTGCATTTTAATGGAAGGATTTAATCCCCAGC